TATTCTACTGAGCCATCTCCCCATCCCCTGTCTTTATTTTTTATTAAATGTTATGTTTGTATCTCATTCATGTTGGCAGGAATAGCTTCTTCTTTGCTTATTGTTTATATTCCGTTGGAATAATATGATAGAATTTATTTATCCAGTCTACCTTTCATGGATATTTGTGTTGGTTTTCAGTTTTTGCTTTTGCAAAGGATACTATTTTAAATTTACAAATTTCCTAATATACACATACAAGAGTTTCTTTGTAAGATATATAAAGAGGGATTACTGTGCATCTTCAACTTCACAAAGCTATGCTGTTTGCAAGGGATCATACAGCTTATCTTCGAACCAGAGATTGTGAGATCCACTGTCTAGCTCACAAGCATTTGGCATTTACAGCAGCTGTAATTTTTGCCATCCAGGTTGAGGTGAAGTAGTGTCACATTATAGTTTTATTTTGTATTTGCTTATTTGTTGTTTGTTTGTCTTTTTGAGATAAGGTCTCACTATGCAGTTCAGACTGGCCTTGAGCTCACCTTATAGCTCAGGCTGGTCTTGAACTGGGAATGTTCCTCCAGCCTCAGCCTTCTGAGGGCTGGGATTACAGGTGTGTGCCCCCACACCCAGCTCCCTAGTTTATTAATGAGGTTGAGATTCTTTTCATATGTTTATTTGCCATCCAAATTCCCTCCTCTGTGAAATGCCTGTGTTCTCCTTGTTTTGCTTCTTAGTATTGAATTTCTTTCTTTCTTTAATTTTTTTTCATGTATTTAGTACGGGTTTGCAGGGTCTCATTACTCAGCTCAGACGCCTAGTGATTCTCCTGTTTTCAGCCTCCCAAGTGCTGGGATTACAAGCAAGCACCACCGCACCCAGTCTCAGCAGGCCCTGGAGGCAAGGTCAGTGAGGCAGGCTGGGGATGGAACCCTGGCCCCTGTGTCTACCTGAGCAGGCACAGTTCTGAAGTTCTTTATGTACCCCAGATACTCTCCTTTGCAGTTATATCTTCTCCCAGTTTGTAGTTAATCTTTTTACTTTATGTTACCATTAGAATGTAAAATAATAAATCTGTCTTTTATCTATTTAGTTGTTGATTGGTTGTTTTTCACCACACTGGATTTAAACCCAGGACCTAGCAGCAAGTTAGTGATCTAGCAAGGTCCTATCTTAAAATAAAAATTTTAAAAGGGTTCAGGTGCTGAGGAGCTGAGGATATAACTCAGTGGAATTGGCTTAAATCCCTAATACCAAAAAAAAGTAACAAGAAGAGAGGGCCTCTTTCTTCTGGTAGGTACATTGTTTCTATGCATGATGCCTAGAAACTGAGGCAACTCACCCAGCTTACGCCAGACGTCCTCAACTTTGATACAGGTCGGAAAAAACTAGAAATCTTATAAAACTGACCAACTGGAGCTATAATGCAAATCAAGTAGGCCACAATCTTGAGAGGTGCAGGGAAGGCATCAGTATTTTAAGCTTACAAGGTGGTTCCATTATGCAGCCAAAGTTGGGGACAACTAGAGACCCTACAGACCTGATGGTAAGTGTCCACCCATTGGCAGAAAGAGGGATTGGGCAAGAGGGCAGGAGTCATCAAAAATGCATGTGAGCGGGGCTGGCGAGATGGCTCAGTGGTCTAAAGCACCTACTTAGAACAAGCTTAGCAAAGCACAGGGACCACGGTTCAATCCCCCAGCACCACATGCCGGCCAGCCCTGCCCCCTGGTGAGCTGAGCTGGCCACACACACACACACACACACACACACACACACACACAAATAAATAAATAAAAATTTAAAAAAAAATGCATGTGAGCTCTCCTCTGAGTTTGGGGCTCCTGTCTACTACTAAGAGGGTTCGTATGAGCCATAACTCCCAGGAGCTTCTAGAAATCTATGAAGAACCTAGACCCCAAAACTAAAGAAGAGCCTCCCTTTGCAGACTGAAGGATAACCCCAACTTGCGCAGAACTTTGGAACTTCCATTGAGAAAGACCCAAAGTTCACTCTCCCGCTAAGGATTCTCAGCCTCTTTGCTGGGGCATAATAAAGGAGAGTCTTGAGGCTGGGAAGATGGCTCAGTAGAATAAGCGCTTCCCTGGCAAGTTCAATCCCTGGTTCTGCAAAAAAAAAAAAAAAGAGAGAGTCTACATGGGGGGGGGGGGGCGGGGAGACAGTCTTTCATTAAGTAATTAAGCCAGGTTTTTTGGGGAGGAGAGGTATCAAAAGTTCAAGTCACAATAAATTTTAAAAGCAGAGCTGTTTCTATTATTAGGTGAAACATCAGGACTTGGGGTTTTTTGTTTGTTTGTTTTTGCGGTACTGGGGATTGAACAAGACTTGGAATGTGAATAGCTGTTGGATTGTAAAGGCCCAGGAATCCCCTGAGCTCTGATTTAGGAGCATCCCAGAGACACGCCAGCATCGGATCAGACTGGCACAGGCAGCCAGCAAGAGCAAAGACTCATGCACATGTGGAAGAGGTTCCCCTTTCACTAGAGAAGGAGCTCTCCGTGGAAGACTTCAAGGAAGAAGCATGTCGCTCAGGAAGGAGCCCTAGACCAAGACGCACTGACCAGCCAACTCTCCGGGGCACAGGCCTAGTAATTTTGTTTGTATTTTTATGTTTCTTTTGTAAGATTAGGCATTTTTGTCCCATGATTTTCAATGTCCCTGTCAAATCTAAATTTAAGTTTGCCCCGTATCTTGGGAACAGGGTGTTCCTCCCAGCAACATGACTAGAGACCCAAGACAGACAAAATAAAACTTATGAACGTTAGCACCGACCAAGGACAGCTGACAGCGTACAGACAAGCTGCCAAAGGTGGGGACTTCGGCCAACACAAAGCAGCAGGCCTCATCTAGGGCAGCAGCCCCATCTAAATGGGGCAGCCACCACTTGGCCCCACACATTTGTGGGCTTTGACTTTTATAGGGAAAACTAAAATCTATTTTTTTTTCTCCCTATTATTTTATATAGTCTCATAATTATTCTACCATGGCAGTGAATTCCTTTTAAAATATTCTATGACAGGGCTGGGGAGATGGCTCAGGGCCTGAGTTTAACCCCAGTTCTGCCAAAAAAAAATTAAAAATATTCTGTGTCAAACAAAATACAGCCGTGGTCATATATAGCCCACAGACTCGTAATTTACAACTTCCAGCATAGAGCATGTTAGATGATAAAAAGTTAATCTTCATGAACAGGTGTTCCCAAGTTGCTCAGTGAATTCCTCTAAGTTAAAATACTCCACAGAAGCCCCACCTGGAGTTTGGGCAGAGTTGGAGCAACACCTTTAGGGCACGGGCCTGTTGCCTTGCCCCCCACAGAATCACGCTGCTCTCTTCAGTCCGAGAGTCAACACCAGGCCTCCTGAGGCCACTCAGCAAAGAGCTACAGTTCAAGAAGTAGGAGCTGCCCCAGCCCTTTTCCCATTCGGAAGCTGACACACTCTCCAAGACTGACCCACCAGAGAACACCTATGGTAAATAGTGACCACAGACAGGGTTGAGGGGACAGTCACATTGGCTCAAGCCCCAGCCCCAGTGGTCAGGTGGTAGGAAATGCGGTCACAAATGAGGCTGGGGACATGTGAATGCCCTTAGGTGGGTCCACTTCCTGTTCCACACAACCCTGCTTGGTTAGTGCTAAAGTGAACAGAAGAATGTAGTTGAGTTTCTTGTCTAACTAGTTATGGCTTTAAGAAAACACTCTCAGATCATACTATTAAACACATTTATTCTTACAGTGATAAAGGATAGCTAGACAGGAGTGAAATATTTACAATAGAAAAATTATGGGTGCTAGTCAAACCTCAAATACTGTCATACCAGTTACTCCAATAGTACTTTCCCAGCATGGCAGATCACACATGTTAAAATTAACTGCATTCTCTTAACACCTCTCAATGGATGTGCTGCGTAGAAGCAACACTCTGGAACTTCTGCCCTTAAGATCTTACAGAATGAACATATGCACAAACAGAAACAATCCATACCCATTTTCTGAAAAAAAAAAAAAAAAGTATTTTGACTTCAAAGGAAATTTAAACAGCAAGATAAAAATACACAAGAGATAGACTGCTACTTCATGTGCAAGGTACTAGACTCTTATACTGAGAACTCTAGTGTCAATCCTCACCCCAAATATCACATTGAAAAAGTGGCAGAACAATGAGTCACCTTCAATATGAAGGACGTGTGTATGTACACCAACACCACTTTTGAAGATACAACAGTACTGCAGGAGGAATGCCAACGTATGGTAGTGGAGGCCTCCTTACAGGCCAAACACTCGAGTCATCACGTGACCACTCAGATGTTTGGGTTAAGCAACTATAGTGCTCTGTTTAATCAAAGCACTTGCCAAATGCTATCTCTGCCATGACCTCGAGTTCCTACACATTGTCAGCCATCTGCAATAGCACAGTATTTACTCTTCCAAAAACCCAAGTCTTGTGCACAGTCATGCATCACATCATGACTGCAAAGCCAGGTTTGCTTAAACTTTCCTAAAATTATGATTTTTGATAGATCATGCTTAAACTGAAAGGCTTTACTTAATTCTTCAGAATTATAAATCATCTTCCCTCAATACCATCCAAAACCCTGAAATTTTATTTGGCTTTTCTCCACAATGCATAGAATGGACCTCTTTCCCCTCTTAAGTTATTTTCTCATGAGAGAACCCTAAAACCAACTTTAATACCCAAAACCACCTTACACGCTCTCACCAAAACTTTAGTACCAGACTTTCCCTGCTGCTCTTCCTTGAACTTCTGGGCCGCACTGCGGACACCTTTCACACATTCCTCACACCACCAGCACAGCTTTCTCTCACCATCAATCCTCTTGTCTCAAATTTTCCTTGCCCCATGTGAAAGCTAATGAACTGAGGAGGGCACTGAAAAAATATTACTTTTCTAAAAATAGTTTATAGGCTGTTACTTGATTCTTCAAAATAAAATTCGGTAGCATCATCCATGCCAGACCCCAACACTAAATTCTCAAGTGACTGTCTCTTCCGCAGCCAGGCATCAAAAGCTCAAACCTAAACCTACTGATGAAAGAAAGTAGCAAATACTTCCTAATCTTGAGCAACACTGACCTAGAATTGCACAGGGACTGTGACAGGTCAAGACCAGACAGTAGGTTGGTTAATTCATCGATAAGAGGACAAGTTCTCCATTCTCCCCCAACTCTGCCATTCCGGGAAGAGGCCACTAGCCAGCCTTGGACTGCCAAAGACTGTTGACTCTACCTCAGTCTTATGGGGCACCTGGCGGAATACACAGTCTCGGGGTGCTGTGTGTGCCTGCACCCCATCAGGCTTCCACTGTACATGGACAATTCTGTAATTGTGACCCTCATTGTTGTCCCAGAAGACCTGCCCATTAGCATGGTAGGAAATACAGAACTCAATTTTCTCCACAGTTGGAATGACAGGGGGTAAGTCAATGCTAAATGAGAAAGTGTCACTATCTGAGCTGCCATACACATTCTTCATGTAGACACAGTCCACATCTGTGTAGCTTTTCCAGCTGTCAAAAGTGATGCGGACCTGAACCTTCTTCTCAAAACTCAGGTTTTTCACTTTGATAGTCCCGGCCACTGTTCGCTCTTGCAAAGAGCAGTTCTCCAGGCAGACAGAGTTCTTTTGAAAATTGTTCCTGAAACTTAAGTAATCAGTTGCAGGCTGAGGAAAATCTAAAATCAAGTTTTTCTCCTCATGGAGCTTCAAGCCAGAGGCGATATCATTGAGATCCAAGAGATCAAACTGGAGATCCCATGCAGGTTCTTCTGGGACGTCAGAGAAGACATGTATAGCAGTCAGGGAGAGGCCCTTGGAGTCAGCAAACACCACCCGCTTCTTGGCCTGGCTGTGTGAGTGCTTCCACTCATTCTGTGATTTGGTTTCCTGTTTGAGGTTGAGACATGGTTTCAGGGGTTTTAATTTATTCACAAAGTTTCTTCGTTGAAAGTCACTGTAAGGACCCAGGAAATTCTTCAGAGGCGGTGAGTGAGCCAGGCAAAGCCTCATGGCCACATCCACAGGCATAACTGAACCTGTCAAGGGGCGTGGGTCCAGAACCTGGATCATTCTAGAAAGCAAAAGGGAGGGAGGTTACCACCTATATCTGAAATGTTCTCTGTCTGAACCCCAATGCACATGTACAATTTTTGTACCGATGAAATTATAGGCAGGGGGGCCGGTGAGATGGCTCAGTAGAGTAAGCACTTGCCTGGCAAGCACAAGGGTCTGAGTTCAATCCCCAGTTCCACAAACAAACAAACAACAACAAAAAAAAAAATTACAGGCAGGGCAGCATCAGGAAGGTGCTATCATATATGATAAAAAAGAACAGTATTAAATGAGTAGATCTGCATTGTGTCTACCTCTGCCCTGGGCTGGCAACAGCGCCTTAAGTTATCTGTTTAAGGAACTTAGAGGAGGAGTCAATTTTCCTGTTTGAGAAATAAAAGGGTTGGATTTGATGATGTTTAATTTAGCCTGTTCTGGACCAGTGGCTTTCAAACCTGTCTGATCACCATGGGCTAGGGAGTTTCTTTCCAGAAGGAAGGAAGGAAGGAAGGAAGGAAGGAAGGAAGGAAGGAAGGAAAAAAGGAAGGGAAAGGAAAGGAAAGGAAAAAAGAAAAGAGAAGGGATTTAGAGTTCTGTGATTTACAAGCTATAGTTAGTAGCTTACAAACTGAGGGGGGAACTAAGGAAGTAGTGATACTCTTTAAAAAAAAAAAAAAATTAGGGCCAACCAAATAGCTCAGTGGATTCAAGCACCTGCAAGCGGGCACAGGGGTCAGGGGTTCAATGCCTGGGCCTGCCACACCGGCCTGCACCCAGGGCCCACAGAGACAGCAACTGAGACTGGGGGTGGTGGTGTACACCTGTAACCCCATCTCTTGGGAAGCTGTAAATGGGAGAATCACTGAGTCCGATCTAGTGAGACCCTGAACACCCTGTAGACACTTTCCTAAAATACAGAAAAATAAATAAATAAATAAAATTTAAAATTTTTTTAAAAATAAAAAATTTAAAAATCTTTATTTGGTACAGGGTCTCGCTTCACAGTTCAGATGCATAAGAATCCCCCTGTCTCAGCCTTCCCAGCACTGGGATCACAGGCGTGCGCCACCACACCAGGTTTTGGTGGCTGGCACTGTGCATCCGGTGTTCCCAGGCCGGCAGGGCATGTGGTATTGGGGATCGAACAGAGTTCCTGCACTTGCTGGACAGGCACTTAGACCGCTGAGCCATTGCCCAGCCCCAGTAACTGTATTCTTAAAGCTTCCCTAGAGATTCTAATGACCAAACAAGTTCTTTGGGAACCAGAGTTTCAAGAGTCCCTCTCGCTGTTAGTGCTTATTGGGCTGACTTGATTACACTGCTCAGAAAGGGAAATTCATTTCAAAAGGAAAAAACAAAATCATAGCAATAAAAAACTTCATGCAACGGTTCTGAGAGTACAACACTAAAAGTCTGTCAGGATTATCTTTGCCCTTTGCCTATCATGCTTGTCCTCATTTCCACAGATGTCTTTGTTAATTATAATAATCCCTTTACTATAGATACAACCTTAAACACAGTGAAATTTATTTTAAAAAAAGAAAACAGTGGTTGTTTAAAAACCGAACTGTTTTAAAACATATATATTACATGTATGAGTTTATAAATTTCTAAATATTGAAAAGCTTTACAGAAAACACACCTAAGACTAACAATTACGGGGGATCTATTGCTGTCTTTGTACTTTTTCGTTATTTTCTAATGTTTGGGCAATGGACACAAATAGATAAGAAAGCTATTTAAAACGGAAACACAACAGTGCTCAGCAATATTAAACCAGAAGCATCCATCAAGGTTTTTTTTTTTTTTTTTAATGGGGCGAGGAGATGGTTCAGTAGAAGAAGCATTTACCTGGCAAGCACAAAGGCCTGAATTCAATCCCCAGTTTCACCCAAAAAAAGTTTTTTTCTGGCCTTTAACCCTCATTGTATGTTGCCCAGCTCATGGAATTGGGACTTTTTTTCTTCCTGCCTATGTTTGCCTTCCAGATAAAGTACTGTGCAGGGCCATTTTTCGGTTTGGCCTTCATATCTCTCTTCACTAAGTGCAAGTTCTAAGCACAGAGGCAAGGGGCATTTTCACAAGATGGATAATAAAGGATATTCACAGAATTTATTAGTCTCAGGGCTTTTCTGGGAGACCTACAAACTTAGAGCAAACAAATGAAGCTAAAGTTATATTTGTGGATCTAATAATAGTCAGTAGGCAGGATTTTTAGAGATGTCTGTTAAGTTATATCTAGAGAAGCCACTTAAAGTAGTTTATGAGAGGCTCTTTGTGTTTTTGTTTTGTTTTTTTACTTTTTGCATTTACAAAAGGTCTGTTTTAGCACTGGGCGATTTCCCTGGAATTTTAAGGCCTGGCCACTTGAGTTAAAAATATGTGTTCAAATAATGAGTTCAGGCTGGCCTTGAACTCACAGCAATCCTGCCTCATCCTCCTGAGTGCTGGGACTGCAAGTGTCCACCACCATGCCTGGCTTTATGATCAAATTCTGAAACTGCGTTTGCTGTGATAGTCCATGATAAGAGGAGTAGAGAAGCCAAATGAGTGCTGCATGGTCAAAGAACGAATGCAAAGCAACCCTGGCGTGATAGCGCACGCGTGCAATCCCAGGACTTAGAGGCTGAGGCAGGAGGATCCTTGGGAGTCCGAGACCAGTCTGAGCTACAAAGTGAGCTCAAGGCAGTCCATTAATGAGGGAATCTGAACTAAAACTGACTCACATTTCTGATATAGGATGCAGATTACCAAAACAGACTCTCCCTAAAAAAAACACAATAAAAAAAAAAATTTTCACAGCCCCGAGGCCTCCCGGGTGCCACATTCAACCACTGTCCTGCCCTGGGGTCCCTTGTGCAGAGCCGACTAGAGAGCGCCCCTCAACGGCCCCCCCAGCTGCACACTTCCATCTGCCTTGTGCGCAAAGTGGCAGTGAACCTACCTGGTGCAACTCATTAGGCCCAGGGAGGCGGCGGACCGGGAGAGCCGGCACCCCGCAGCCTGCGCAACTCCGCAGCGCTCCACCCTCCGCAGCACCCCTTCGGTGGCCGCTCGCGCTGGCTGCAGCCTGGGCTGGCGAGGCGGCTTATTAGCGCCGAGCCACGTGGACTGAGCCCTCTAGCCAATCCCGGGAGGCGGGCCCGATGGCGCGACCAATGGGCGCGCCGGCCCTCTGCCCCCGAACGTGATCTCCGCGCTGCTGGCTGTACCCGGAGCGCGCTGGATCCCCGGGGTGGGGCGCCGAGGACTCGCGGGCAGGCTGGAAGCCTGGCGAGGGACGCCAGGCACGTAGTGCTCGGCTGGGAGAAAACGCGGCAGGCTTCTCCCGGGCTGGCGCCAGGTCCTCTGGAGCTGGGGTGTCTGTTACTTGGCAATACGTGGGTCTGTACACAGTTGACTCTGAGCACGCAGAGCTGCGGCCCGACTTCAGATGCATATATTACTCAAAATGTTTACATTTTTCATGAATGTGTGCATCCGCACACACTGGCCTGTGCAATCATAAATGGCTGCACCTTTGTTGTTTGGGGGTTTAGTTTTATTTGGGGTGTTGTTGCTGGTCGTTAAAATGAACCCACAGGTGCACCACACAGTAGGGAAGCGCTACCTGGAGTTACTAATGCCTCTAACACACGTCAGTAAAACGTGTGAGCGCCACAAAAGAATGAGGTGGTGTTTAATTAAATGGAACTTTGTATTTTGGTCTGTTCTTCAGTTTTCTCCTTGGATGAAAAATTATAACCAGAAATGAAATGACCTTTTTTTACTCACGGGCCAGTCAATAGGCAAACCTAACTCATTGTTCGGACGTCCTTTGGCAAAGAAAAGAAAAGAAAACGTTAAAACACCACATTGCATTTCATAAGCCATTTACTTTCACTAAGATGTCCTTATTTTGTTTAGTATGGAGACATTTCAGGGCATCAATTATAGCCATAAAAATAAATTTCTAGGCCAGGAAGATGGATCAGTAGAATAAGCACTTGCCTGGCAAGCGCAAGGGCTTGAGTTCAATCCCCGGTTCCGTCAAAAAGAAAAAAATAAAATAAATAAATTTCTAAGTCGAGTATAATTTATATTTAAAAAACCATGTCCTAGTTCTGCTCTAACTTGGCTATCTAGCAGTCAATTAAAATGTACAAAACTCCGTGGGTCTTTTAAATAAGTGTAAAGTGGAATTGTTAAAATAGAGTTATTGGGGCCATGGAGATGGCTCAGTGGAATAAGCGCTTCCTGGCAAGCGCAAGGGCCTGAGTTTAATACCCGGTTCTGAAAAAAAAAAAAGTAGAGTTATTAAAGTGTAAAAGAAATTCATGCTGAGATACTTCATGCTTGGATTTTATTTTTGTATTTTTTTATGGTAGGGTCTACAGGGTGTTCAGGGTCTCACTACTAGATCTTAGTGATCTGCCTGTTTACAGCCTCCCAAGAGCTGGAATTACAGGTGTGCACCACCATGCCCAGTCTCAATTGCTGTCTCAGCCTGCCCCAGGGGCAGGGCTGGCATGGCAGGCCCAGGATAGAACCCCCAGCCCCTGTGCCTGCTTGCAGGCACTTTAATCTGCTGAGCTATTTGGCTGGCTTTTCTCAGATTTTATGTTTGAAATGAAACACCCAACTAATGGCAGGTATCATAGCCCTTCAGCTCCGGCAGTACTAATTAGACTATGCAGTGGACACTAGCTACTGAACTGATGCAAGTTTCTACCTCAGTTTCTGTGTTTGTAAAATGGAGATAGTAAGTTTGTTTTAAGGATTAAATAAAATGTGATGATGTGCACCTGTAATCCCAGCTACTGTGAGGCTGTAAACAGATCTCTAAGAGTCTGATCTAGTAGTGAGACCCTGAACAGCCTGTAGATCCTTCCCTAAAAATACAAAAGAAAAAAAAAAGATGTAAAAGTGGGGCTGGGGAGATAGCTCAGCAGTCTTAAGCACCTGCCTGGCAAGCATAAGGGCTCGGGTTTGATCCCTGGTACCGTATGCTATGTCTCCATGCCAGCCACCAAAACTGGGAATGGTAGCACATGCCTGTAATCCCAGTGCTGGGAATCCCAGGCTGAGACAGGAGAATCAGTATGAGTCTGAGCTGTGTAGCGTACCCTGTACCAAATAAATAAATACTATTCTAAAAAAAAAAAAAAGGATTAAATAAGATTGTGCAGGTGAGCAGACTTAGCAAAAGGCCCATTGAATGTGGTCAACCTGTGTGCATTCAAGCCAGCACTGGGTTCCTCAGGATTTGCTGCCACTCTGTCACCTCAGGAAACCTGGGGCCTGGTAGCAGTTGCCCATTAAGCCTTTATCATGTGCCAGCCACAGAGCTAAGTGTTTCATGAATGTTCGCTTTTTTTTTTTTT